TTCTGTCCACTCCAAGCCTCATGCGACGCGGACATTCTGTCGGATTCGGAGGCGACTTCAGACCCGGACCTATCCAGATCTCGACACCCCAGGACAGACCCGCCAGTTCTGCCGCGTTGGGCTTTCAGCTTCGGCCAGGTCGCTCGTAGCGGCCATCTGACCTAGTCGCCGCTCTCACAACACCGCTCCCACTCCAACTGCGGAGCTGAGAAGCATGAGCGACTAGGCGCCGCTTCTTTCAGCCGCTGGTGTCTGTCTGAGCCGGACCGAGGGCCGCCGGACACCCGTCAGTTGCCCTAGGCTGGGCGACCGCTTCCCTGGCTGGCCTCAGTCTCTGCTAGCCCTATCACCCCCTGGCCGCTTACCCTGTGCCCCCAGATTCCAGGGCTGCTTTCTGATAAAAGGCTTCCAGAATCCCCCCTCTGGGCTTTGAGCAGCTCTCCTGCTTCACTCTGGATTTTCTTAATCTCCCTTTCCCCGCTCCTCAGATCCTTCTCCTAAGTCCCAGCCCCGGGTCTGCGGTACCCCCTTCCAGTCTTGACCCGTTCCCCAAACACCGGAGTTCAGCCGCCCCAGGTTCCCTTAGGAATCCGGGGATCAGCCAGGGCCTCTCGGCCCCCCGCATGGTCAAGCACTCACAGCGCGTCCCGCAGCGGGCAGACTCCGGGCGGCGGCGGCGGCGGCGGCTGTCTGCAGGGCTGGCAGGGGCCCGGGGCCAGGCACCCTGCGGGCGTGGGGGCCGCCCCCCTGTTCCGGGGCGGCCGCTGGGCTCAGCGCTCCCAGACTCGCCCAGGGAAAGCGAGCCTCGCGGCGGAGTGCCACCCCCCGCCGGCGCCCATTCACTTTATGGCAGCCCAGGGCGCCCCCAGCCCGCCGCGGCCAGCGGCGCGCCGCAGACCCCGCCCCTTTCCAGCTGCGCGGCCCCGGCTCCTCCCTTTCCAGCTGTGAACTGTCAGGCCCCGCCCCAGTGGGGAGGGGTCCTGCCGGCGAGCCGCCAAAAGCCCCGCCCTTCGGCCAATAGGAAGCGTCGACCAGCAACTGAGCCACGCCCCCTCCCACGTGGCGGAGACCGCGCTCCAGCTGGGACGCTTTGCTAAAGCCAAACCAGCGAAAGGAGAGGGGTTGGCCCCGCGTGCAGAGAGTCCAGCCTGGCTGGGGGCGAGTGGTGGGCCCGGCCTCTTCCGAGTGGAGCGGTGCCGGGGCGGAGGGCTGCGGGAGCGCCAGGTGGGAAGGCGCACACGGTCCCCGGGTCTCAGCTCTCGAGCTTTATGGCCGCTCAAGTTTCGCCGATTTCCTCCACTTGTCGCTGTCTGTCTCTCTCCACTCTTTTGTCTCTGTTCCAATCCTCCTACGTCTGTCCTTTCTTTTTCTTTTTGGCCGCCGCTTTGCTCGCTACTCTGCCACTGTGAAAGTCTGATTTCTTTTTCTAAGCCCCCTCTTCCTCATATTTTTTTTTCTCAGCGATCTCCTTTTTTTTTTTTTTTCTCCTCTAACTAAGGTAACTTTGAAGAAGGAGGGTTTGGAACGAGAGAAACCAAGTGATAGACAGCACCTTCCCTCACTCAGTGACCTTGGACAAGTAACTTAACTATGACTCCAACTCCCACCCCGGCCAAATTAAAGTGGAACTTCCGTTGGCTCTTTGGCCTTGAACAGGGTGCTTGTCAAAAATGTGAGCCCTTGGCCTCTCACTCTGCACTATCACTTTGCCTGAGCTGTGCTCGCCTAGACTTAGTAGGGCTGGTTTCCTCCACACCAGATTCATTTCTGTGGGTAAGATGTGACCTTGGAGCTTGCTGTTTAGGAATTTGCAAAGAACAGGACAGATATTCATGGAACATGTTAGGCTGGGTTATTTGGGTGTCTCTGAGAACCCTAAGCCCTGTCACCAAAAAGAAACAAAACAAAACAAAACAAAAAACAACAAAACACCCAAAAACAAAAAACAAGAAAACAAAAAACAAAAAAGCAACAAAATATGCTTTGAAGGCACTATTCTGACCGTTCACATTTTGCGTATAACACTTCAAATGCTCTTGGTCCAGCGTTCTAGTGTGGCATTCCAGACCTTCAGGACATGAACTTTTTTTTTTTCCTTCTTATGACAAGGTCTTGCTGTGTAGCTCTGTATTTCTGGCTGCCCTGAACTTGCGACCACCATCCTACTCCTGCTTCCTGAATGCTGGGATTACAGATGTGCACCGGTACCACTGAGCTCTGCTCTCTGAACTTATCTTCATCTCCAGTTTAGTAGTACTGGTTTCCTGAACTTCTGGAGCCTTTCCTTCTGAGTTCCCACCTAGGTCCTGTTTTCTCTGAGAAGCCTTTTCTGAACTACTAGGTTAGATGTGTAGCCTCTTGCTCTCATGCCCCTCCCTTTACATTTCCTTTGTCATTCTATCCTCTTTATTGAAGGGATCAGTTTGTGTGGTGTCTTCCATACACTAAGATTTAGGAGAGCAAGAACCACTTTTTTCATTCTTCTATTCCAATAAATATGTCAGACTAAAATCTAAAGGGAAGACATTTCACCAGGTAAATGATATTTAGTAGTTAGGAGGGACTAAGGAATTGTCATAGCTCTCCTCTTCATCTTTAATTTACAATCACATGCTTTTAAGATGATGAGTGTCTGGAGGCATGTGTAGGTAGAGGTGGGAGAGTAGGGAGTTTTGATCCACTTACAGGGTTTTCCATTTGGCTCTGCAACCCAAGACAGACCCCAAAGGCCACACTGTTTTCAAATGAAGAGAAAAATGGGTTAGAGGTCAGAGGTTCTATGCAATGAGGCACTATAGTGACCACATGCAACTGATAATGTATCTTCTTCACAGGATTTCCTTTGGATCCTCAGCTGGACCCAGAGGCCATGACCAAGACCCCAATGTGTAGGTGCAGGGAAATATTGAGGGATTCTTCAGGTCGAATGCCATATAAGTAGGAGAAAATGGAGAGTTGCTTTTTCAGTACCTCTCAGCAACTTCTCTAGGTTTGTCGGGACACCTGGGTTCTGTTAGCAGACAGGGTTGGGAATTCCACCATTCAGTCTACAAGCAGAGAACCCACCCTCTTTGCCCTCTTTCCATACTTTTTTGCAAAGATCAGAGATAACGCTTGCCTCTGTTACCCAAGTGCTGGGATTACAGGCATGTGCCACCGTGCCCACTTTACTTCTAGATGCTTTTAGAATTTTTTTTTTTTTTGAAACAGGGTCTCCCTGTAGCCCCAGTTGGTCTGGAACTCACTATGTAGACCAGGCTGGCCTTGAACTCACAGAGATCCGCCTGCCTCTGCCTCCCAAGTGCTAGAATCAAAGGTGTGCGCCACCACGCCCAGCCTTCTTTTTACTTATTATTTTTTAAATTTATTTTTATATGTATATAGTAAGTATACCCATATTGTGCAATGCTTGTAGAGGCCAGAAGAGAGTGTTGTTGGATCCCCTGGAACTGGAGTGTTGTTAGCCACCATGTGAGTACTGGGAATCGAACCCAGGTCTTCTGTAAGAGCAATCAGTGCTCTTAACCGCTGAGCCATTTCTCTAGCCCCAGCATTAAAAAAAATAAAAATAAAAAAATAAATCGCCGGGCGTGGTGGCGAACGCCTTTAGGCGGATCACTGTGAGTTCAAGGCCAGTCTGGTCTACATAGCCAGTGCAGGTCAGCTGGGACTACAGGGAGGCCCTGTCTCAAACAGACAAAAAAAAAATCATTTAAAAAAATTATTTTTGAAGAGCGGGCTGTGGTGGCGTATGCCTAGCACTCGGGAGGCAGAGGCAGGAGAATGTCTGTGAGATCAAGGCCAGCCTGGTCCACATAGCGAGTTCCAGGGCAGCTGGAGCGACAGGGAGACCTTCCCTCAAAAAAAAAAGACAAAAAGATAATACTTTTGAAGTGTGTGTTTGTGTGTGTGTATGTGCGCACGCGCACGGGTAACCCCGGTCCCCCAAGGCATCGTCGGATCCCCCTGGAAACTGGAGTTACTGGAGATTATGTGATCCTGACATGTGGGTGCTGGGAACCGAGCTAAGATCCTTTGGAAGAGTAAGCACTCTTAACAGCTGTGCTATCTCTCCAGTCCCACCCTGTTAGCATTTCTAAGGCTAACAGTAAATCTTCATTTTCCTATCAATGGTGATGTGGACCACTTGTGTGTGATTAGCGCCCCCCTTCACCTCCTTTCCTCCTCCAATTTCTAAGATTTGTCGAAGGTTTCATATGAAGAGCTGAGAATCATATTAAGGTATACGTAGTTTTTAAAAAGGTGAACTGGGGGTAGGTGGATCACGACACTTAGATTTGTTTCTCCACTATGCACGGAGCCAGTTTTCCTTGTAGAATTGTTTCTTGACCTGTAAAATGAGGATACTTCAACTGATATCCAAGGTTTCTGGCACCTTCATTTTTTCTATTTCTGGGTGGTGGGAATGGAGTAGAAAACGCAAAATCAGAGCTGTGATGGGACAGGCACACCTATGAAGAACCAAAATGGGATACACAGACGGGAGGATGGAAGGAAGGAATAGTCCCGGGGAGAATTTAGGAGGAAGCAGCCCCAGAGCTGCCCGGAAGGAGAGTGATCCCTAAAGTAGCAAAGCCCGGGTGACTTTGATAGGATGGGGAGTAGCGTCGCGCGCTCCAGCTCTCAAAACGGACCCCGCCCCCTTTCCAGCAAATCGCAGCCTTTCTCCTCATAATGACCAGCCGCCACTGCCAGACTGCGCGCTGCAACCGAACACTGTGTAGCTCCACCTCTCCAACCTCCCAGCATATTTCTCGGATTTTTATTGGCTCTCATAAGTGTCAATCAGAAAAACCTTGTATCCGTTGGTTGTTCCCTACCTACTCTTCTTTCCCTGCCAGTCTCGCCTCTTTGGGTACTACACGCCTTCTGGAGCTAATCCATTTCTTTGATTGGATATCTGGGCTGCCACTTCTCGGAGTGCCATACTCTGATTGGCTGAGCACGACAGGACTCACGCAGTTACCAGGCAGCGGGCTAGACTGAGGCTAGTTACCACGTCAGTGAGCTGACAGGGAAGGTAGCCGGCTCCACCGACAGTCCCGGCCGATTTATCCGGCCCACAGTGAGATCTCACCCTGAATTTAGGGTCGACTTCCAGAAAACAGGCTCCCTCCCTTCTCCCATTTGCCTCCAGAGCCGGGAGCGCGGCTGGGGACGCGTCCGGGGCCCAGGCTGGACATGAGCAGCGGCTGCCGGTCCTGGGACTAGGCCCCGCCATTTTGGATCCGCTGACAGGTCAGCGAAGTCTCTTCTTAGAAGAGTTCCAACGTCATGAAGGCCGCGTCTTGAAGGCCGCGTTCAGGAGTAAATCGGAAGGATCCTTCAGTGGGGCGAAGCTGAGTGGGTGAAAGGCGCCGGGCGAGGAAATCAGCAGAGAGGATTGTTGTGGGAGGGACTTGGGAGGTGTGCAGAGGCAAAGGTCAGGCCCCTGCTCCGGGAGGGGTGATTTCAGTTCCAACTTGTGACTCTTTGTGAATGCCAGAATCATTTCTGTTTTCTTAGGCTCCAACTCTTTTTCAGAGCTTTCTGCACCCTAAAGAACCCAGTCCCCAAAAACCGAAAGCAGAGCTATAGAACATTGTGTATACTTTTAGGAATGGTTTTTTAGGCCTTAGATATAGGTTTTTCCAGAATCTGTAGAGTTTCCACTTCTGTGTGATTACCTCTGAATACAACTGAATTGTTTCATTAATCCTGAAAGCTGAACCAGTGCAAACCTGGACTCAGGTAGCTAGAAGGCATGGAGGAGTTGAGGCCAGCAGCCTGGGGAACTGGCCTCTGAGGTTTTCCTTGTGGGGCAGCCCAATTACCACCGTGGGTCTGTATGCAAACACTTAGCTTTTGGTCTATGTTTCAGGTTTGCATGTCTTTCTTCCACTTAGCCTAAGGAGAATGAAGTATAATCACAAAGAAGCCACTATCATGAGAGCTAAGGAGAATTTGAATACTGATAGTTTGGTACTGGTGGGCTGCTTTGTTTTTGTAGGTTATAAAAAAGATTCGAGAAGGGCTGGGATTGTAGATCAGTTGGTTGAGTGCTTGCCTAGCATGCATGAAGCCCTGCCTGAGTTCAATTCCCAGTCCTGCACAAAGTGGACATGGTGGCACACACCTGTAATCCTAGTACTTGGAAGGTGGAAACCAGAGCATCAGAAGTTCAGGGTCATCCTCTGCTGCTTCTGGAGTTTGAGAACAACCTGGACTAAATGAGACCTTGTTATAAGCTAGTCATGAGAGGTGTTCTGTCAGTTGTGGTTGGGTCAGGGCAGTAGAGTGAATGATGTAGCATAACCCCAAAGAGTATGTAGTTTATGGCTCAGTAATGACCTTTGGTACATTGTTGTGTTGTAAAGCTATAAAAGTCCATCAAAGGTAAAGAATAGTTTGGAGATGAGGGACAGTGTTGTATTTTTTAGTACAGAAACTCATATGCCTTTATTTCAGTTATACTAGGTACTACTCTGGGCCCTGTGGAGGATATAAATAGAAAAAAGTTTGCTGTGGATTGTTTAGTTTGCACATGGTTTTGCTACAGTACTGGGCATGGACCCAGGGCCTTACATTTGACAGGCAAGCACCTACCACTGAGCTATAGCCCTAACTTGCTTTGTTTGTTTATTTATATATTTATTTTGAGACAGGATCTCTCTAAGTTGTCCAGGCTGTTCTAGAACTTGCTCTGTAGCCCTTGAACTTGTGATCTTCCGGAGTAGCCGGGATTATAGGCCTATACACGAGGTCTGGCTATACACTTCCTAAAAGTAGTACCATATGCTATACTGGGTGTGGTGACAGACATCTATAATCTCAGTACTTCTGAGGTTGAAGAAGAGCATTTTGAATTCAAGACCAGCCTGGCCTCCATACATCTCAAAAAACAAAACAAACAAACAAAAAACCCAACACAAACAAAAAACCAAACTAGCATTATATATGCAGTGCCCTAGCTAGTAGCAAGTTATAAGCAGGATCTGTCTAATGACTTTCAGCAGATATTGGGCACTCAATAACTATTCTTTGTACCTAGGATTAGTTTAGGATGTGATGAGGCTTTGTGGACTAGTCTGGCCCTGGCAGCCAGTTGTATTTTCCCCTGGTGAGGTAGTAGCAAAGAGGATTAACATCTCCTAGTGTTGGAAGGCAGTTGATACAATACTTGAATGCAGTTTCTCCTGCCTAATTCCCCTTGCCTTCCTGAAAATGGGTGTGTTAGTGTGTGTGTGTGTGTGTTAGGAAGAGAAGGGATAGCATTTATGGATTATGTTTATAGATTTAAAATAAGTGGAATGGGCCGGGCATGGTGGCCCATGCCTTTAATCCCGGCACTTGGGAGGCAGAGGCAGGCGGATCTTTGTGAGTTCAAGGACAGCCTGGTCTACATAGTGTGAGTTCCAGGACAGCTGGGGTTATAGGGAGACCCTGTCTCAAAAAGACCAAAAAAAAAAAAAAAAAGGTGGAATGGGAATACTGCTTTTTAACCTCATCTAAGTTGCAGAATTTGTAAAAAGTGGGGAGTAGAATGACCTAGCCTATTAAGTACTCAGATTTGATTTGATGGACCTGCATTGCTCATTTTGGCTTTTGCCCTGCTGAGTTGAATATACTCTGCATAATATGCAGTCTGAGTTCTTGGTAGGTAGTATGACCACTCCAGCATCTTATCAATTGGACCTGAAGATGACTGTAGAGGCAGCAAAAAAAAAATCCTTTTTTAAAATATAAATTTAAAAGAGTCATTTTCTAGCACTCAGGAGACAGAGGCAGGTGGATCTCTATGACTTCGAGGCTAGCCTGGTCTACATAGTAAGTTCCAGGCTAGCTAGAGCTACAAAGAGAGATCCTGTCTCAACAACCCCTGCCCCCAAAAGGAGTCATTTTCTGGATTAGACGTATAGCTCAATGTTGAAGCATTTACTTAGCATATTTGAGGCCCTGGGATTGAGCCCTAATGCTGGAAAAACAACAAAAAAGTAATTTTCTAGATAGGAATAATTTTTTTAGATAGTAATAGTTCTCTTCCATCCATAGACATATAAGTGATCTTTAAGATTGTACCCGGTCTCCCTGTAACTCCAGGTGGCCTGGAACTCACTATGTAGGCCAGGCTGGCCTTGAACCCTCATAAACATTCACTTACCTCTGCCTCTCTGCCTCCTGAATGCTGGGTTTAAAGGTGTGCTACCATGCCTGGCCAGTGTGTTCTTGTCTTAACAGTGATTCTCCTTGGCACAGTGGGAGCTCAGGTTGTAGATACATCTCAGTAGCTGGGTGTCAGTCCCAGTTTCAACTCTCAGTTCTCAGAATTCCACTACTACTGGCTATAAGTGGGCAGCTAGAGAAGACGTCGACACAGCTCCTGCTTATGAGGAGACACTATAGGCACTCACTGGAAAGACCATCTTAACCTTTGTATGCTGCTTCTAATTGATTGATCACACTCTATCCCTATTGTAGAGTGTAAATGATTAGAATGAGTCTGCTGTTGGGGTCATGGTAAGGTTGAATTGAAGGGAGAAGGAGAGATTCATTATATCTTTAGACTGGAAGAGCTGTGTAAATGTAATAGACTGCTGTTCATCTTTTAGTGTTCTTTTTTTATATTTCAGTACATTCAACTGCAGTTTAGTTAAATGAAAATAGATCAGTGTACTCCTTTGGCACTCCAACAGTAGTGGAAATGATCATGGCAGTCTATTCCAGATAGTAGTGGATATGATCATAGAAGCAACAGTAGTGTAAATAATCATGGAAGTAATGAGATCAGATCATATAAAAAAGGATTATAAGCCTGAATACATAAATGTCAGGCAGATAATGAGTGAAGTGAGTCAAGTGGGGAATATATAGGATAGAGATTCTAATACATAGTCACCTTATTTGAAGAAGGCAGTTGCTTATGCAGCAGCAGATGGTTACTGTTTGAAGATCTGAACACAGTATGACCAGCCTTCCTAGTTTTCAGTACATAATGATCTCTTACAGAGAAGAGGAGCAGGCTTAAGAGACTATCAACAGCAGTTCTCTATGTATAACCACATCAACTTTTTTCTTTGTTCTACTTAGCCATCAGTCACCCTTCTACCCTGGATGTCCTGAGTGGTTAAAAGATGAGGGTTAGCAATACTGGGTGTGGTGGAACACGCTTTTAATCCCAGCAGAGGCAGGCAGATTTCTGTGTGTTCAAGGCCAGCCTGCTGGTCTACATTGCAAGTTCCAGGCCAGCTGGGGCTACATAGAAACCCCATCTCAAAAAGATTAAAAAAAAAAAAAAGATGAGGGATAGCGAGAAGCTTTGTTCCAGTTTCCATCTCTAAGATGGTCAGCTTTGGACATGTTAGTGATCGACCCTACATGTAGCTCTGGAGACAGTCTCAAAATCTCCACAGGAGGAAGATATGGCTTGACAGAGCTAAGGTACATGGTTACTCGATTAGCAGGTTTGAGAGGATTTTCCAGTTGTGCCTAATCAGATCAGAGAAACAGCTTTTTTTCCCTCTGGTTTGCCATTCTTTAACCTCTACTCTTTCTGTAAATTTCTTGAGTTCAAGACTTTTTTTTTTCTAGTTTGGTAATTCTTGGTTACTTACAGTAAAGTACAAAACTATCATATTTTTTGGCCAGCTCTGGAAATGTTGTACTCTCTGTATCTCAGTATTTTTAGTGCTTTTCTGTGTTCTTCAAGATATTGAATGAATTTAAATTTTGGAAGGGCCCACTCAAGGCTATTCTGCACCCTGCCACCATATACCCTCTCAGAATACTCAGTAGAATTTCCTTGATTTACACAACTATGGACTAGATACCAAAATGTTACCAAAAAAAAAAAAAAGGAACAAAGAAACAAAACCCCTAAGACTTTGCCTTTGAAGAACCTTATCAGGTTTTTTTTTTTCATTTTTCATGGTGCTGGGGATTGAATTCATGTCTTTTTGCATACTAGGTGAGTGCTGGATCACTAAGCTATGTCCTTAGCCTTGGAGAATCTGTTGTGATGGGTTTCATTATGGTATTTTTCATATGGAAAAAACAATTGTGTATGTTAACAGTTACCGGAAACAAAGAAAATAAGAGATGGGACTGGAGAGATAGCTCTGCAGTTTGGAGCACTGGCTGCTCTTGGAGAGGACCCAGGTTTGGTTCCCAGTACACACATGGCAGCTAACAACCATCTGTAACTTCAGTTCCAGAGGATCCAATTCCTTCTTCTGGCCTCCTCAAGCATTGCATGCACAGCT